AATTTTGCCAGCGTCCACCACACTGGGTAACATTTTGGATTTAAAAACCATGCTTCTGAATAGTAGAAACATATTTGTCCTCTTTTTTGACAGGATCACCTAAGGTTGCTTCCAATTCCGGGTTCAACAAAAGGGCTCGTAAGTAAGGAATATTTTTGGGAATCAGGTTTTTTGTGCAACTCCTCCTTGTCCGATTTCTCTAAACCTAATGTCACGTACTTGGTCCATCGATCAGCCAGAGATTTGTGAACCTCGCTTCCTAATACTGGCTCACTTCCCGACGGAATTTCCAGATTTTCATCTTGAGATTGTTCTTCAATTACAGGAGGATACCTCTCTGCCTCATTGATTATGACTTCTGGCTCTAAATGTGTATACGTTTGTCCCGTACTATATACACTGCTTATACTTCCTGATGAATCAGAATCAGAGCTGGATTCACATAAAAAATATATACAGTCCTCACCTACTTGCGCATGCAATATCCTTAACATATTCTGTAGAATATGTCCTGGGTTTAACGGTTTTACCCTATTTATATGTTTTTCACGTTATGTGAAAACTGCAAAAGGCTTTAACGGTTCTAGCCCATTCTTAATACATTAGGTTTAACGATTTTACCTAAAAACAACTTACTAGTGCTCTTACACCTATCACCTCGCCGACTTTTCTTGTCAATTTTCTCTAAACTCTTAATTAGTTTTCGCCGTTTTCTCTCCAATCTTGCAGCATCACTACTTGTTTTTCGCTTCGGCATTTCACGAATTTCCACCAAAATGTAAATAAACCGGTCCGTACTCGACGAAGCACAACAGTGTAATGATTCATATGCCTGGGCCGATAAGAAACGCAAGATAGATAGGTATTTTGTTTGTATACGGGGTACCTTTAAAAATGTTGTGCTCGACAAAGCATAAATGGTGTTACTACGTGTGTGATCTAATTGGACGAGTATAGCGAAGTATAATCGTTAATATAAACCAAAAGTGATGAGCTAGTAAAAAGGAATACAATGCAATTATTTTATCAATTAATAAAGTGTTAAATGACATCAACATAACTCCTCCACCCTTAAGATGAAGTTTTGGAGGGCACAAACGAAACTTCGTGCCTCTGGGGTTGCATTTCGATTTCTTCTAAATGCTGGCTTCTTCTTGATCCTTTTCTTCTCTGGTAATACTTTTTCACGAAAATGCATGCAATATCAATTAACATAATTGGATACAGGGGTAGACTCCATTTATAGGGGTGCTTCACTGTTTCGAGAAGATAGCAATGTATTTGGACTCTGAAATAAAGATGATAATGCTTAAATTTGTCTACGTGCAAAAGCGGAACATGTAAGGCAAAAACTAATCGACTTTGGGAAAAATATGCTTCTACTGAAATTATGTCGTAAAGCTTTAAATATCTTTGATGTCTGAATACACCAACTGAGCTTTATTATGATTTTTGACTAATTTTGGAATATTGACTTTAATTCATCTATCGAAATAATACTGTGGTGCAATGAACCAATTTTGGCAAATGCGATGGCATTTTCCAAATTACTAGTTATAGAGAGCAGTGCATCTAAATTGAACTTTATTTGTAATAGTGTATCCAAAATAGTAAAATAGTATGTATTGTTCCTTTGCATCTCTACCAAAGTTTTTTCTATTACAGCTTGATTGTGAACCATAAGGCTAAATGTCCTATTGTCATTTTGAGAACCTCGTGGGTCAAGGAAAATTGCTGATTAGCTGTCTTAATTACTTGATTCTGATTTTTCTGTAATTGTTCAATAGCCTGGTCATATTTTTTAGCATCGTCATCATCTAAGTTCCCTGAAATCATTTTGATAATTGATCCTAAGCCATTTATTAAGCCTCGTTTTGGGCGATATTGCTTTTTCCAGAATGGATATATGGACATTATTTTGTTTTTAAAATTTGACATCGAGTAAACTATATGCTGTTCTATATCTGCCAAATGTATATCTGGAATGAATCCTAAATTTATTTATTCTTTTCTGTTTGGTCCTTGATTTTTTGAAATACTGTACTTAGCGAATTTACTTCCTTAATTATCGGCTTAAAATCTACATAGTCTAAAAATGTATGTGTTCCTATTTTTACTTAAGCATCACCTAATCTGAAGGGTAGTATACCAGGATTTGTTTTTTTTCCACCTTCACCGTGGACTGATGTGTCAGATGCACTATCAGAAGTATCATAATGTAACAAATTTTGAGTTACTTTTTTTCTGGGCTTTTTGAAAATACTTTTATGATAAATATTTTGAGTTTTAAACCTTTGTCAGTCAAAGTCTGTTCTTTTATATAGGGCGGTTTCAGATTTTTACCTCGAGACTTCGCGTCACGTCGGTAAGCTACTTTTTCTCTAGAATAGTCGGTCGGTTTTTCGCGATCTTTATTAGCTTTTCGAATAACCTTTCCCTTTTGGGTTTTCGACATGTCATAGATAAGGCTATAAATTAATTTTGTCCTATTCTTGTGTTCTTGAAGGTAATTGTTCATTAATTCTCGATCAACGTCTAGATCAAAAGGATCTCTAACGTCTAAATGTCCGTTAATAATTTCAATTGGTTTTCGTTTCGTCACTGATTGTATGGACTGATTGTAGCCAAGGATTGCATAAGGCATCAAAGAATTAACATCCTTTTTTGGAAATTGCAATGCAAGAGCTCTTAAATGTTCAGTTATAGTGGAGTGGAATCGTTCAATAGGTGAATTACTATTTGAATTTTTGGAAGTTGTAAAATGTAGCTTTATCTTATGGAGTTTTGCAAACTCTTTTATAAGGCGTTGTTGAACAGAGTACCAGAATTTGCAACAATTTGGATGGGCAAACCATGAAATGACATGAATTTGATCAAATTATCTACAACAGAGATAGCATCAGCTGCTTCGATTGGGAAGGCTTGCGCATATTTTGAAAAATTGTCATTATTGTTAAAAATTTCTTATTGTTAGCTTGATATACATCTAAGTGAACAATTTGGAATGGCATTTTAGCTGTCGTGGTAATCTCAAATTCAATTCTAGGTGGATGTCTTTCATATTTGCCTTGCTGGCAAATATCGCAGGTATTAACGTATAACTTCACGTCATCATCAATGTGGGGCCAATAATATTTTCTTTTAATTTGGTTTACAGTCTCAATAATTCCTCGGTGATTAGTTTTGATCCCATAACGTTTGAAGTGTGAGTTTTCTGGGCATAATAGCTTTTTTAACAAAAATTTGATACTTGAAAACATTGATAGGTTTTTCTACAGGGTTAATTTCTTGAATGGGGCTTTCATCGTCTGAGTGAATAGTTACGTTTTCAACTCGTTCACTCAAGTCTAGCAAATTGCGTATTGTTTGTTCATCACCTACATTATTTTCTATAGACGTTTGGTCATCTGTAGGTTTTTCGGAAAAGTCTTTATTGAAGGTTTCATGTATCGGATAAATGGGAACTCTTCTTCATCTTGGATTTGTGATGTAGAAGGTTGTGGGTCAGTTTCAGTAGCGTGAATTTGAATACGAGAAAGTGCATCAACATTTTTATTTTCTTTACCTTTTTTGTATATAACTTCATACTCAAATTCGGATAATTTAAGCGCCATCTTTGTAATCTAGAATTTGGTTCTTTTAAAGTCATTAACCACTGAAGCGGTTTGCAATCTGTTACAATTTTAAATTTTCGTCCAAAAAGATAATGTCTAAAATACTTAGTTCCATAAACTATTGCTAAACATTCTTTTTCAGTCGCACTGTAATTTTGTTCAGAATCGTTTAATGTTCTAGATGCATAAGCTATTGGTTTGTCAGAGCCAATAGGGCCTTGACAAAGTATAGCTGATACAGCAAAATTACTTGCGTCGGTAGTCAATATGAAGAGCTTTTCAAAATCCGGATATTGTAATAATGGTTCATTCGTTAAGAGATTCTTACAATGTTCAAAAGCATTGAGAAATTTTTCGTCATGTTTAATTTCTGCTCCTTTTTTCAAACATAGGGTGAAAGGGCGATTGATTTTTGCGAAGTCCTTAATGAACTTACGATAATAACCAATAAAACCTAAAAACTGTTTAATTTTAATTTTGTCGGGGTTTGGTTTTACTCCTTGCGATGTGACAATGTGACCAAGAAAAGCTGCTTCCTTTTTCAAAAATTCGGATTTATCTAACTGAACTTTGAGGTTTGTCTCACTTAATCTTTGGACAACCTTTTTCAATGATACAATGTGTTCTTGTAAAGAAGTAGAATAAATTATGATGTCATCCATATACACCATAGGGTTATCTAGTCCTCGCAAGACATTGTCCATAACACGCTGAAATGTGCTTGGTGCTCCTTTAAGACCAAAACTCATACGAAGGTATTCGTAATGACCTCCATCAACACTTAATGCTGTTTTTTGAATATCTTCCGGGGCTATTTCAATATGGTGGAAACCGCTAGCTAAATCCAAAGTTGTGAAGTAATTACAACGACCTAATTTGTCTAAAATGTCAGAAATACATGGAATGGGGTAGCGATCATCTATGGTCTTTTCGTTAACCTGTCGATAGTCAACCTCCATACGCCATTTATTTTCACCACTAGCATCAGGTTTTTTGGGAATGAGAAAAACTGGAGAATTCCAAGCTGAACTACTATGTCGAATAATATTCGGATCTAGAAGGGATCTAATTTGGCTTTGCATTTCATTTTTGAGCATGTGTGGATAACGATACGATTTTGTATGAACAGGAATTTCATCTGTGGTCCTCCTATGATGCTTAATTTGGTTTGTGAAAGTTAACGCATCACCCTCGTAATAGGATACGTCGGAGTAGGTTTGACACAATTTTAGAATATGAGTTTTTTCTTCATGATTGACATGGGATGTTCGTATCAGTTTACTGAGATCATGTCGCAACGGCGAAACTGATTCAGATGGTTTAATGATAGCGTGGAATAAAGCGTAATTGTTTGCGTCGAACGGAAATGAAACAATAGGCTCATACAAGGAAATTTCTTGATAGGTGTTACTAGGATTTTCTAGGTCAACTAGGGCATAACCGTTTATAGCATGAGTAAGCGTTTCCTTGATTACACAATCTCTAATTTTGGAATTTGGAATCAAAATTTCTCCATTATAAGTATCGACAGGAATTTTGGCTTGGGCCGCCATGTGGGGCTCAATTTCTATGAAAAATAACAAACGATTTTTCAAATCATGAAATTTGATTGGAATTTTGGCGTTTTTGGTATGCAAAATAGAATTTCTAAGGTCAATATGCGAATTTAGAAGTTTCAAAATATCTAAACCAATCAGACCATCAAAATACTTGTGAAATTTGAACAAATGAAATTTTATAGGCTCACTAACATTGAGTTCTGAGAATTTTAGCACAATAGTCTCTCTTCGAATGCTGAAAAACTGAAGTTACTTCGAATGGTTCTTTATAAATACATTTTGAAAATGCTATTGTGCAAGATCAGGATTTAAAAGTGATTTCGTTGCACCAGTATCTATAAGAAGCTTTAAAGGCGGATTTTTAATTTCAGTATAAGGTAACTCTGTTTTGTTATAGATCGTGTTTAAGTGTATTATGTCTCCTCTATCATGGGCACGGCCATCTGAAAATTTTGTTTTTCTTCATCAGGCTTTTGACCAGTTTCAGAAACATCATTTTGTGTCTCATCAGGGTTTTCGTAATATAGATCAGAACAGTCATACTGATTTTCACTATCCTGACAATATTCCCAGTAATAGTCATCGTAAGGGTTGTTTCCAAAATTTTTATCATAAGGATCACTCTCAACGTTATGTTATTCTTGAGAAGCAAAGTTCCTTGGGCCAAAAGGTCTAAAATAATTATTTTGGAAATTCTTATTTCTATTGATGCTACTAACACCACTCATAGGAGTAGGCCTGTAGGAAGGTCCTTGGTTAGGCGGATTACGCCAAACATTAACATTAGGTCTATTGCCAAAAAATTGTGCGTTTGTTGGAAATTTTTGTGGAATTATTAATTATTAAATAACTAATAAATCTGTGCTTATTTCTAAATATCTATATAGTCTACAGGGATTCCCATGGAATTCTGGTACAATTTGGGAGTAATTTTATGTCGAACTGGGGGGGCACTATTTCTACTGGGGGTCGTCATTATTATCTTTTCTATAGTGTCGTTTGCTTGTCTTACTTCTCTACTTCCTAATTCTAAGCTTGCTATGCGATTAGCGATTTGATCTGCACTATCACCTTCGAAAGGATGTACAGGTCGGGGTGAGTCACTCATGAAAAAATAAGGATACAATGAGCACTTACTGATAGGTCCAGTACTTCATACCGTTCTTGGCCTAGGTTCCTCAGGTGGACGTCGACTTTAACAGGACAAAGGGCACTTGTGGTCCAAATTCTTTCTTCTTTCTTCAGTCGTACCAGCTCGTCGCGGAGGTTCGCGATTCCCAATTAAGAGTTCGGACTCAAGGGCTAATCGGCGAAAATCCCTTTGGGAATCCTACTGCGGGCTGCGCCAATTATGTAGTCGGAACTTCAAACTTCGTTTTTAAAAAACTTTATTTGATTCCAACAACCGAACTGGAATTACAGTGTGTGTGTTCGCTGTGACTGAGATTGAATGACTACCTCATAATTAAGATACAATCGTTAATATAAACCAAAAGTGATGAGCTAGTAAAAAGGAATACAATGCAATTATTATATCAACTAATAAAGTGTTAAATGACAGCAACATAACTTGCGCCTCTGATTTAGTTTGAGGCAGGCACATATTTGAGTCTTGGTTTGAGTTATTACTTGTGCTATTAATACTATGTATAAAATTGATACTTAATACCTTCACTGCTGCGCGGGTAAACATTTTCTATGTCATAATTTGTAAATATGTATAAGTTCAACACTCATCAGGCGATACTTGAGTCTCTTTTTCACGTGAAAGTTAGTCCTGTCACAGAAACATTCTCGCTCTTTTCTTTGTTCACCTGTATAGGTGACATATTCGAATTGACATGTTTTATAATTTCCAGGAAGAACATGAAGCTGTTTCTCTTCGGTTTTGCCTTAGTGGGGTGTGCCTTAGCTTTTCCTCAGAAGGAAGGTAGCGCGTATACCCAAGAGGCAATCAGGCAAGCTCAGAACACGTTGTTGATACCAAAAGATGCCCAAATACAAAAGGTAATCCAAAATTTCATATCATTTATTATAATATATGAAAAGCTGTTGGTATCGATCCTTCAGACGCTTTAAAATGAAAGTGTCGAACCTCTAGTGACGAAATCGTATAAGTTAGAAGAAACCAAGCCCTTTATGTTTACAAGGCAGTGTTTGTCGGTATCATAACGTTCTTTTTTTGATAGATTTGCCTACCAGTGGTTACCGACCTGACAAACCAATACATCGTAGGTACATTCTTTTCTTTGGGAAGAATATTCAAGTAGGTAGACAATTTACTAGAGGGGCTGGGTAGCCGAGTGGGTTTGAATCCCCACCTCGGAAGTCAATTTTGATTATAGATGTGTTTGTCTATATAGAAATACTACGCACAAGATCGATTGAAGATCAAAACAGGAACATCGGATTGCAGGAGCTCGTTGATTGAATAATTAGTTACCAGTAGATAGAATGTATTGTCTTTTTCACTAGTATCCATTACGATAGAATAACAGCTCAGAATACCACATATCGACAAATGACACATAATTCTGGGCGATCAGTCAACGCTAGGTAGACAGAACCGTATTCGTATTTTGTTTTGAAACAACTCTTTTATTTAGCAAAGTTCATTTGATTACAGAAAATAAAAACGCTACAAGCATGTTTTACTGGATTTACACCCGATTCATTATTGTCAACGTTACAGACTGATACAAATATGCCACCAGTTGATCAGCTGTTCACCCCAATAGAGATCCCAACGTGATTGATACTCGTGATATAGAGTTTAGGGTAGTACAGTGTTGGTACTACGGGGTCGGCAAAAAGCGCCCAACGTGACCTTCGCCTCACCACCACTACTATTACTATTTACTAGCCAATTGGGTGTGCTTTCGTACATCGGAGCAGAAATACTATCTATATTGCGATGTGAATCATTCAGTTATTATTACAATAGATATAAATTAGGTAATACAAAGAAATGGAAGTAAATCTCCATTAACGGTACAGCATTTGAACAATTCTGGATTAACTGTATAGGAAAATACGAAAAATTGTCTTTACGAAACAGTAGCAGTCTCGGAATACCTGATATTAGAAGTAGGAAACACATTGCTTGAACTCTAAATAGGTGTGAGTTGTGAGATCTGAGCAGATCCTTGGATAAAAGCAAATAGCTTGTTAAACATTATACATATGGCAATTCGTGATATTATATGTAGATGCAATAAAAAGACTTAGAAGTTATTTAGTTAATATGTTGTAAATATATTTCTTGGTGCGTGCTGAGGCTCCTTAACAGAATCTCGTGACGCCAAAATGTGAAAGCGTAAAGTACTTTTTATAACGCAATACTAATAGGATGATAACATAGTTTATCGAAAGCGAAAGATTAAAGTTCCTAGAGTTCACCTTGCAATAATTTATCGAAGTTCCTAATTAAAGCTGAGTTTTTCTCTCCTAACAGGCTGCTGATGACAATGACTACGTTCCACGTGTTTTTTTTTTGTTTTTTTTTATACTCCAACTAACGAAGGCCTAAGGCCTAAGACCCATTGGGTACCGTGGGGCTATAGGGGGATACATGGGAAAGGGGGGACGCCACACGGACTCTGGCGCGGGAACACGTGTGCATGCAACATGCACACATTCTGGCTCCGCCTACGAGAACAGCCGGGTGGTACCTCCGCGTTCGACAGTCAAAGACCATCTACCACCTACGGACAATCACAACATCCATAGCCAAGAGAAAAATGTCTCCTGGGACGGGACTCGAACCCGCACAGCGCACGGCGACTGATCAGGAGACCGAAGAGTCTACTACTGCGGCCACCGCTGTGGCCACCGCTGCGGCCACCCTGTATATATACAGGGTTATCCAAATTAAGAGTCCACCATTAGTAACTTTGTTATTAGTGAAAATACAAAGTTGTTTGAATTAGCAAACTAGTAGCATTTTTAACGCTGGTAAAATGAGAAATAAAAAAAACAATTGAGAGTCGTTATTTTGATTTTTTTCAGTAAAATAACATTTTTTTAAATGGAAACCCTGTATATTATATTTTTTTCTGTTAAAGCATCAAATTTTAAACAAAAAAGCTCACAATAACTTTTCTCCTAGGTTACAAATTGTTGAAGTTATGGCCTCCAATCTGAAACAATTAAATTGTATCGACAAACTTATTTTCAACATCAACTTATAATCTTACAAAATACAATAACAATTTTTTTAAAGAAGATGCTCGAAAACACCACCTTGTTCTTCAATACATTTTTGGGCACGTTTTTCAACTGCTCGAACTGTCTTAAGTATGGTCCTACCATCTATCTGGGTTATCTTTTCCCTAACTGCAGTCTTTAACGCGTCAAGGTTATCGTACCTTCGCTTGTAAATTTGGTTCTTTAAGTAACCCCACAAGAAGTAATCAAGTGGGTTTAGATCTGGTGATCTGGGAGGCCACTGTATTGGGCCATTTGTTCCTATCCATGATCATTAAAAGTAGTACTTAGAAAATGATAAGTACCTCTGGAGTTGTGGGCAGGTGCGCCATCTTGCTGAAAATGTAGATGATGTCTACTTATAAGATCCAATTCGTCTAAGAAATTAGTCAGAATTTCTGACATAAATTCCACATATCTTTCACCAGTTAGGGTTCCCTCATAAAAGAACGGGCCAACAATTTTTGAACCAATTATACCGCACCAAACGTTGAAAACTGAAACGGACTTGTGGGCTCTTGGATGTACTAACAAAAGATTTTCTCTTGAC